ATGGCTCATCTCATACGTGGCTCTACCAGTTAACCAGTGGCTGCATATCAAAAGAAGCAAGAATGACCCTAACAGTTCAGATTTATGCGCCGCATGTTAAAAAAATGAACCAGAAGATATGTTACATTGCCTGATACGCCGTAAAGAGGCGACAGGGAGAGCCTTGGATCTTTGGGACTCCCTCTTCTCGACTCCTCTCCCTGAACACCCAATCCAACTCCTATGGACTGACACCCCAGCTCAATTCCACAAGACACAGAAAACATGGTTTAGAATGATCAGAAAGGTAACGTTGTGGTCCATCTGGAAGGAAAGGTGCTCCATAACCATTGAGGGACTCTCAAATCCAAGGGGGAAGGTATGGGCAGAGACAAGGAGCTTGATTTAGGCAGAGATTCTTTGTAAGTGGCATAAGACGATACACTCCATGCCAGATGACAAAGAGCAACAGAGAAGAACCAAGGCGAAATCCACTAAGGTGTGCCTGACAGGGGGCAACGTAGCAGAGTTAAATGACTTTCACATACGGTGGAAAGATTGGCACAACTCAGAAGCAAGGTGGAGAAGGAGAGATCCCGGCCAGCAGACGGGCAACATCCATCACATGCCACATAATGTTGAAGGGCAAATTCGGAGATTGCATCTTCCGTAGCTTCTTTTCCATTTCTTGCTCTTTATCATTTATCTGATAGGTTCATGCTGAGAGGGAAGGTGGAAGTAAGGCAAGCTGAAGGTTCCTTCAGCTAGACGGAAGAAAGCGTGGGTGTGTTTCGTGATATAATACTTTATTCTGACTTGCCAGTGGAATAGGAACCAGGACTGATGCTCCCCAGAATGGAAATGGAGCCAGGGCAATAAGGACCTGTTTAATAAATCCCTATACCCTTAAAGGATACACCGATCCCACCGACATACGCCGGCGCGGGCCCACGGGAAATTGTGGCAGGGGCCCGTCGTCTCGTGTGCCAGGGAGAGAATGGGACAGGACTGACGCGGACTAACGAGGGCGCAAAAACCAAACGACAGGAGGACCGCAAGCGGCGTGGGATACCGCATCGCGTGAGAAGAGCGCGGCTCGAAAACACAAGCGAAGTCGCACGCTCAGACAAGGCGGTGTTGGAAGGGCTGGGCGTCGGGCGCACACACACACACACACACACACACAGAGAGAGAGAGAGAGAGAGAGAGAGAGAGAGAGA